GAATAATAATAATAATAAAAAAAAACTAACAGAGCAACATCAACCTGAGGGATCTCATTGAATAAATCAGCACTTTTTTTCTTATTAATTAATCACATATTTTAAAATGGTTTATTATGAGTTGTTTTATTAATGTTACATAGAATTTAGTTGTTAAATACAAATTTATTTTCATTAAATTAGTTTTACTTCAAAATAAAGCATATATATTTACTACTTCTATAATACAATTCCTAAACTTATCTATTAATAAAAAAAAAAAAAAATGAGCTTTTCTTTTGTCGAATGGTTATCGGGGTTCACTAAAAAAATTTAGAGGAAAAGTGGTCCATGGGTAAGAAAACGTTGAGGATGACTGATTTAGACCAAGGTAAAAAATCGACCAACGTTTACCTTGATTCAAATATAAGAGCGACCGATAGACTCAAGAGTAAACGCGACTAGATTTTTGCCTTGAGTTTCAAGTATAATTCCAACCAATGTTTACATACAGACCCAAATATAAACCCGGCCAATATTCACCTCCATTTTTAAATTTAATTTCGAGATGAAATAACCCAACAGTTTTCGATATATCAAAAAATGCACCAATTTAACCCAACGTCTAGAAATGATGCTACATATATTTACAAAATCGTGAACACGGGATTGACTGATTTGTATTTTACGACTTATCAACTTTTTGTAGGTTATTTAAAGCCAGAAAATATTTTTAGACTGTAAGAAGTTTTGGCAGATAATAATCATTTACTGATACAGGCCTTACTAGTTAAACAACATCTGGGGGTGGGGAGAAGAGGTGGAATCATAACTTTTCCAGGAGTTATTTACGCGTAAATGCATATAACGAACTCGGCTGGAATTGAAACTAGGTTCTCCGAATTCCAAATTCCGAGCCGTTATCCATTACACCACCCGCACATCCAAGCTTACAGTAATTGGTATCCTCAAGCAGTCGTCCATCTAACTGCTGACCTGACTCGACGTTGCTAAACCTCGGTAATCGTACGAGAACCGGTGTTTAAACGTGGTATGGCGATAAGCCCGGGAAATAGTGCATCTATTCATTCAAAATGATCGTGTTTGCATGTGTGTGTGCATGTGGGGCAATTAATATCTATTTGTATAGGCGTGTCCGCTTGTGTGTATTTTCAAGGAAATCGTGTGCACATAGCTAACGTTGAGTATGTACGCGTAGTAGAACGCCTACGGAAGAGTAGCGTACACTGGTGTGTACCTGCGCACATGTACACGTCCGAACAAAGAAAGACGGAAGTGCGTTAGTATAGACATCAAAAACTAAGATAACAGCTTCATTTCGCGGGGACAGTATGGTAAAATCAGGCAGTCGGGTTACTAGGAGAAATGCATTCAGTGCACACCATCACATAAATGGATCATATGTGCGTATAGCGAGATGCAGCGAGGCGCATGTGCATGAAAAAGTGTATTATCTTGCATAAACGCACACATATACGCATGCACATACGCGCACGCGTATTCCTATATTTTTGTATGTTTATGTATGCATGTATGTGTGTGGAAATGTAATTTTGGGATATTAAATAAATTTTTATTTTACAGATAGACTCAAAATATATGCTTCTCTTAAAAGCCAATGCGCTCACGAAACTTCGAAGTCGGTATGACTGAAATAACACAACTCAGTTAAGTGATAAGTTTCTCCACATTAATTATGTTAACGCGCTATCCTTACCTTTTGATATCGAGCACTTTAAGACGCAAACCTGCTTGCCTAAAATGCGTTTCCACCAGTAAAGTACGGAAAAATAACCAATTATCATGGCATCTAAAAACACTTACAATTTAATACCATACACATACATACATATAATTATTTATTTTAGGAAATTAAAAAAAATTAAATGTTGAAAATCGCTACATAGTGGCAACTATATTTCGATATTAAACTACTGGCGAGTGGAAGTATTTTTAAAAGTATTCTGCTTTTGAAATTAAATTAATCTTTCACTCGCCAGTAGGTTAACATCACCCGAGGAGACACATTTATGATGTCGAAATATAATTGCAATTATGTAGCGATTTTCAACATGTTTTAATATCCAAAAATAAATAATATTTAGCTCTACTTTGCACTGCGCCCACTTTTAATTTTTATATTATATATATATATATATATATATATATATATATATATATATATATATATATATGTGTGTGTGTGTGTGTGTGTGTCTGTGTGTGTGTGTGTGTATGTGTGTATGTCTGTGCGTTTTGTAGCATGTATAATATTATCCGAAACAAAAGTCAAAGTTTATGTATGTGTGTATATAGCTATATCGTCGTCTTTGGCGGAACTTGTTGCCAAGTATTGGGGTGCTCATAGACATTTTGTTCCGTGTGAAATGTATTCCATGATCTGAAGAGACGTTCGCAGACATTCAGAGGAAACTCGGGGAATGTTGTTAAACGTACTGTGGAATGTAAGGTTAAGCGTTTTAAGGCCCCTGTGGTTTTGGACCTGGTCTTTGTCCAGTCTTTTTAAAACTACCATGGTTCGGTAGCGGGAGTCAGGCACTTGCTGATAGCGTAACGGTGTTTGTGACTTCTTGCTTTTCCGATGTTCCCATCTTTAACTAAGGATGGTTTGCCCTACCCACAAAGTAGTTCCGTGCTTTTATTATTAATATTCATTTAAATGTCGGTGTGAGGCCGGCTATGTGGGGCGAATCAGTTTGCGGTTGGAAACCCGGATTGAGCAACATGTGCTTGACTGTATATGACAGTGTGTAGTGAGTAACAGTAATCGCTTGACTTTGCAAGTTTGTGAGTCAGCGATTGGGCTTCATTTAATTGATAACCCGGGTTGCGCTTCCGAATATCTTAACGGAGCGTTTAGGGTGCTGCACAAGTCTCGGTTGGTTAAACCTTTTCTATTTTTAGAAACTGTTTAAATCAAAGCTTCATCTACCGAATTCGTGCAGGTAGAAGGAGAACTTTTTTTCATTCTCTCTGTTTCATGGGTGGATCGTGAGTAATTCTTTTCATCATTTATATTCATAGCGGCTTATTTACACCGGTTTTCTTTTTCAGTCCAGCCGTTTTGATTATTGTCGTCCCAACGAATCTGAAGAATTGTTGGACGAAAAAGGTCCCTTTAAAAGAAAGCGTTCCGTCCTTTTCAAAGCCACATTTAAATTCTCTGTTACAAAATTTTTGTTTACATATATATATATTTCACTGGTTCCCAGACTCCATGAATTCAAGCGCCCAACGAGGCTGGCATCCCGCTCCCATCCTTACACTGTAGAAACTTTTAAATGTAGCCGTCTCTTCTACTCCAATAGCTTCATACCTCGCACATCTCGCCTGTGGAACACCCTTCCCAATTACTGTTTCCCTAAGAGCTATAATCTTCAAATATTCAAATGTAATGTTAATCGACATTTCCAGTTACCTTGATCTATCCACTATCCCTCTCCTCACCCTATCTTCTATCACTCCTATCTGCTCTTGCTCCAACCCCCTGCATCCTAGTGGCTTCACGCTTTGCTTCACGTAATACTTAAATATATATATATATATGTATATATATATATATATATATATATATATATATATATATATATATATATATCGTGGACTCTTCCGTGGTAGATCGACTCAGGCCGTTGACCCACGCCTACCAGGGAACCTAAGCACAGTTAGGCGGCGGAATAAGCGAGAATTCCCCGCTGGACCGCCTTCACCACGATACCTCACCCTACGATGTATGAGGGTCAGGTCACTCATTTCCTAGGAAACGACAGCCAGATTACATGGATATATGATTTGATTATAGTGGTGTAGGTTTTGTGCAGAACCAACCACACTTTTATATATATATATATATATATGGCAGGCTACAGTTCCTTTCCGTGCACAACTATCTGCCAGAGTGGCTAGCAAATCCCTATTACTGACGCCTGCTCAGTCAACAGAGTCCACCTGTGTTTTACATTGCCACTAACATGCAAGTTCGAGAAATAGAGAAAATACGTTCCTCGACAGGGATAGAATTTGCGTCTTCCTTTGTATTGGAAATTACAGTTTTATCCAGTCTGCTTTACCGCTTGACTCCGGAGGAAAACGCAGCAAGCAATGTTCTATCTCCCGCTCGCTTACTACGTGCTCTCCGTGACCGGGCTGTAAAGCACACCGGATCAGACAGTAGTTTCCCCTACAAAGGGTAATGCATTTTTGTTTACTAAGATTTCTCAAATGTAAAGTCCAATAGACGTAATACACACTGTTTATAAATAAAAATAGGGTGTGTATTTCAAATACGGAGTAACCAATATAATAAAGTTTGAAGTAATAAAAGTTAGAAAAAAATATCTATCTATCTATCTATCTATCTATATATATATATATATATATATATATATATATATATAGGTAAGGTATATTTATGGCTAAAATTATTCAATCTCAGAGATAGAGCATATTTAAAGACTATTTCATGCTTGAACGCAATCTAATAATGGCTATAAGATTACGTTCATACATGAAACTGACTGTCGTTACTTGATGTTGATCTCACTGTCTATATTATATATATATATATATATATATATATATATATATATATATATATATATATATATATATATATAGTTGAGGATATGAGTTTGTAACCCTGTGTTTCACGCTCTCTGACGATCGCAGAGACCGTGAAACACAGAGTCACAAACATCAATCTAACCAAATATGTTAGGTCTATCACTGATATCGAGCGCTTTCCAATAAGTACCGCGCATATATAATATATAAATAATATATATAAAAATTCATATATATATATATATATATATATATATATATATTTTATACACACACACCACACATACACACACACATATATAATAAAAGAGAAAGCGCTTATGGCATGACTCAGTGGTTAGCAAGCTAGTTTTTGCAGGCCGTTGTCATTTTGATCCTCATTGGGTACCCTTCACCTGCACTGTACTAACCCAAGTTTATAATCTATCTACTGAATCTATTGAAGAAGGATGATATGGAAAGTAATGGAATGGGAAAACAATAGGAAAAAGAGAGAAGGAGAGAGAGAGAGAGAGAGAAGGAGAGAGAGAGGGAGAGAGGGGGACTGAGGAGGGGAAGTAAGCAAAAGATTAGAAACAATAGCAAACGTTTTAAGGTCTCTGACGTCATAATACAGAATGGAGAGAAACAAAGACCCACAAACGGACTAAAAACACGAAACGGAAACCGGAAGAATAAACTTTAGATTGCCCCCCCGCCGCCCCGCAATCTAAGTAAAGATGGTTCGCTTAATGAAAATGAAGTGATTAAAAGGAGAGCGCCTGCTGGAAGAGACAGAAAAGCGTGAGGAAGAACTGGGGGCTGGAATCTGAAAGCAAAAGTAAGATGATGGACATGTCAGCGACAAAAAGAAAACGGTCAGTGGATGAGGGAAGAGGAGAGAGAAGAAACAATGGCTGACTGTCGGCGGTGGACAGTGAAAACAATGGCAGTTGTAAAACCCGGATGTTAAGCGACAAGTGGGCGCTGTGACTGGAAGGAAAAAAAATAAAGTTAAAGAAAAAATTAGTGTTATGAATGTTTGAAAAATAAACAGGATAAGCGTTTAAAGATATCAGCAACAGTATAAAGATATAAAACATAATATCTCACCGTGCATAAAGATTGTTTACAGAAAGCTGCGAAGGAGGGTGAAGCGGATATATAAAGAATATGAAACGTAATGGCATATAAAAGATTGATTGAGAGAGACTATGATATATATATATATATATATATATATATATATATATATATATATATATATATAGAGAGAGAGAGAGAGAGAGAGAGAAAAGATAGAGAAAAATGATTTGGAATGCGAAATTGGCGCAAAGCGGTTGAAAGACAGAGAGAGAGAGAGAAAAAAATAGAGAGAGATAGACAGTGAGAGAAATGGAATTGGAATAAGAATTAGGCGCAAAGATGAAGAAGACAAGATTAATAGACAGTTAAGAAGAGAGTGAGATAAAGAGAGAATGAGCGACAGAGAGAGAGAGAGAGAGAGAGAGAAGTTATTTATAATATGAAATAGGTGCAAAGAGGAAGATATTACCTGATCGTCAAGTACAGAAAGAGAGAGAGAGAGAGAGAGAGAGAGAGAGATTTGGAATGCGAAATTGGCGCAAAATGGTTGAAAGACAGAGAGAGAGAGAGATTTAAAATGAGAAATAGGCGCAAAGATGAGAAAAGCTAAAGATTAACATATCGTTAAATAGAAAGAGATAGATAGATAAAGAGAGAGAGAGAGAGAGAGAGAGAGAGAGAGAGAAGAGATTTAGAATGAGAAATAGATGCAAAGAGGATGAATGTCAGAAATTAACAGATTTTTTAAATCGCGATCATCCCAAGCAAGGCAGTAAAGCCACTAAGACGCAAGGAATACACTGGGTGTGGAAGATTTGAAAACAGAAACATTACCAGGGAGCGAGAAAAAAAAAGAGCAATCAGGAGGATAGTAGATATCGATTGGCATTACATTTAAACTTTTGATGATTAAAGTTGTCTGAAAAGCATGGAGACGGAAGTGAGTTCCACAAGCGAGAAGTTTGAGAAAAGAAACTGTTAGCATAGAACTTACAGTTACATCTAACTCAACTGTAAATCGGTGAGGCTCCGTCGCCAGTCCAGTTCTGCGCTTAAATCCATAAAATCTACATCATACCATAGCAAAGAGCTCATCCGAACAACTGCCATGAAAATATTTATGGAAAAGACGCAGAGAGGCAACATTACATCGGTGGGAAAACGACTCAAGCTGAGACGCCAGACTCTAATAATATAGTTGATTCTTCTATGGATTTTATCAAGGGTCTCTAGATATGTATCAGGAACACCGAAGTATATGTGGCAGTAATATTCAAAGCATGAACGAATGGTAGACTTATAGATATGTAAGATAGATTTTGGAGAGAAAAATTGTCTAGCACAACACAGTGAACCTAACTTTCTTAGCAGCTGACCTTGCAATAGATTCAGTATAGTCTTTCCACTTCATGTCAGCTGAGAACATTAGACTGAGAAAGCGCGACAAGCCACTCTCTTGGAGGTTAGAATCAGCTATAATAATGGAAGGCCGAATGGGGTCTCTCAGATGATTAATAGAGATTAGTATAGTTTTCCAGAGTTAGTTTCGTTGGTTTAGTATTTAGTCGGTTCTACAAAGCAGTGGTTTGTGGGAAGAAGCTGTTCAAGTGGAACTTACATCTCAACAATGGAATATGAAGGTAATGAGGATGGTTCGCTAAAATATGCAAGGCATGGCGGGTCTTAGGCGTGAACTGGCGCAACTAAAGAATGTTGTTCGTCTGAGCACTTTATATTTATACAAACTGACAACGTCTGTTTGTTTACTTATTTATTTTTCCAGTTCAGTAATGAATTATAATTCCCCTCCGCACAAAGCGGAACGAAAATTGAATGCTAGAAATCTGCATCCAGAATTTTTTTTTTCATTTCTTCTATCCAGGAGTCGGTCGATTATAGTGCATTTCAGTTTTTAATTGTGAAAATTGCCAAGAAGGATTTTGGGTTCCTCATGAACTTTGGCTTTAGAACTGAACAGAAAGTTTCACCATCTGCATTCACGAAAACTAGAACTCCACCCGCAGAATTCATTGCTTTCTGTATAGTAGCATATGAACGGTATCGTCCATTTTGAGCTGATGGAACCTGGAAGGACCCTCACTGCAGACGTTTATTGCCGCCAAGTTGATTAGGTGAACGAAACATGATGTCGGAAATGTCCAACTTTTGTCAATATAAAAGGTCTTATTCTCCAGCATGGCAACGCAAAGGCACAACCTGCAAAACAAATAGAAGAGAAAGTAAGGTCATCAAACTCGAAAATACTTCTACATCCTTCATATTCACCAGATTCAGCAGATAAAGGTACTGATATATTTCAATCAATTGAACATTTTATAAGCAACAGAAAATTCAGAAAAAAAAAGTTGAAAAAAGAATTTCAAACATTTTTCAAGGAAAATGCTGTATTTCTTTAAACATGAGGTCGAAAATTTATTACTGGTTGGTTGCAGTCAATGAAAATGAATGTGATTACATTTTTGATGAATGATCTAAATAAATACATGTAAAATTTTGTCTGTCCATCCGTGTGCCCGAAACCCGTCTAACACGGGCCATACTTGCCCTCCAGAGACATATTATACCTTTTTGGAATTAGGATGATCCAAGGATCGAAAATCTGTTCTTCATCTGCTGCTTGAACATCCAGCATCCAAGTTTGTGTCCAGATGAAGAAAGAACAGTCAATAATTCAAATTTTAAAATAACTGAAAAAAGTTAGTGATTTTAAAAGTTTTTAAATTTATAATGAGTTTTAAGTAACACAAAAACTTTGTGTATTTACTTTTTTTGTTTTAAATTTAGTTTAAAATATCTCCAAAAATTTGTGAATTAAGGAAATCAATTTTATTTCTTTAAAATGCCAAGGAATCAGGGTTAAAGAGAGAGGGTTCGCCATGTGATGTTTTGAAGTTCCGCAGAGTTTGTGATTTGAAAAACTCAACTCAATTGAAGCTCCACGGAATGTGCGATATGAATTTTCGGCCTGAATTAGAACTTCGGCTCGAATCGGATTCTCGTCCTAAATCGAACTTTCGGCCCAAATCGGTATTCTGGCCAGAGTTGGACTTATAGCTCAAATCAAAGTTAAAGTGAGGTTTTGAAGTTCCACGCAGTGAATTGAGGAATTCAATTATTACTTCAAAATTATCATTGCTGTTTCCTAAACTGGACCATTCATCACTTAGTTTTGAGCCGGAGGCCCAATTAGTCCTCCATGGGAGCTAACTTAAAAGTCTGGTCTTTTAAGCTAGTATTTAAATAAATTTAACTTACATATATTTAAAGATCTTTTCTGGTTAAACGTATTCCTTTTCAAAAACCTTAATATTTAACTGAATTTAAGTGGCATTTTTATATGCTTTCTGCTAAAACGTATTCATTTTCAAAAACTCTAATATTTAACTGAATTTAAGTGACATTTTTGTATGCTTTCTGGTAAAACGTAATTACCGTAATTACATGTCGCCTTATCTCCCTCATCTTTTAAACTTAAAAAATCAGCTCTCGTGAATTTCGGCTGTGATATGCCCTTGCTATTCACGCTCATGAAAAGAGATGCATAATGCATCTAGGGAACATGGCCAAATGGTTATGGTCAAGGAAATGACAAGTAAATCTGTGATGCATAACGATGTATTTACTCTAACCCATCTTAATTCGCTAAAACAAGTACACATGCTAACACCAGCAATAAGCGATGAGAGACATGCCTAGTGTAGCATCAAGTCATTCATTATTATTATTCCTAAAGACTTATATATATATATATATATAACTTTTTTTATTCCATTGAAATATAAACTTCAAAGTAGTAGGTTGGTTCAACTGCGGATAGTTGAAAACGTTGGTTTCGATTCCGCGGATGGTTGTATCCAAAGCCTTCCTAAATCTGTATTCAAAATATCAAGCCATGATGAAGACGACAAATAAAATTTGTGTATAACAGACACACACAGACACACACACACGCATATATATGTATATGTATTAGATCATTGCAAAATTTCATGTCCAGTTAAAAACAATGAAAATCGGGCACAAACATCTGCAATGACCCAATACACGCAAACACACACACATATATATATATATTAGTAGTAGTAGTAGTAATCTTATAAGTATAAGAAAATATACTCGCTCGGAAAACCTTCGGTGTATTGATTTGCAAATAAACAAGCTAATACCAAAAGGAAAAAAAAAGGTATATAAAAAAAGAAAGAACCAAGAACATGTACGTTAGCCGAAAATAATCGTCTAGAATGCAAGTCCAAAGCCCAAAGAAAAAAAAGTCCGATACGAGTAAGCAAAATAACTAAAGTGCTCAATATGTTAAGTAGAGCAGACCTAGTTAAACCTAGAGAGCCGGACAATACTACCAAGGTTTCACCTAAGAGGATCGTCAGGGAAGGCTAGCTAAAATGGCCTGTATATATATATATATATATATATATATTCAGTTCCTAGAAACCGAGAGCCAGACTACCCGCGCAAAATCACTTGATTATAATGGTGACGGCTTGTACGGAACCAACAACACTTTTTGGATTGACCGAAGACAGAGAACTGCTGCACAACCAGCCCCAATGTCCCCAAACAACCCTCTACAGTTTTGAATTCAGAGTTGTCTTTCTCCTAGACCGGTTGCCCCCAATGCTATAGAATCCAGTCTGTCCTGCTATTTTGCCTATAGCTGGGGGGAGAAGAAAAGGGTTCATACTTTCCCAAGCGTAAGTGAATGCAATGGATTCGACTGGAGTTCGATCACGACTCTTCAATTCTTCAATCGGATCCGCTATCCGTTACTCCATTGCGCCTCTCCTATGCCTGTCTGTGTGTGTGTGTGTGTATATACGTATATATATATATATATATATATATATATATATATATATATATATATATATATATATATATATATATATATATATATATAATTGTAGTTTAAAAACAGTAAAATCGACCTTGCTAACTGAAATGCTCCTCTGTGACTAAATCGGTAAAGCACACCAGGCTATATGATGTTCCGTGTTGGAATCAGTTTGGATTCCTGTCGAAGGGCGCATATTTTCTATGAGAATTTCTCGGACATTCAGGCCGGTAAATGTCGTTAATACTTTTTATTATAAAACAGAGCGTTTACTTAAATATTTGTATTTATAAAAAGAACGTATAAACATAAAAATGTCTTAAAATAATTGTCGGACTTTTGTCCATTTCATAATGTATAACGTCATATATATATATATATATATATATATACACGCACACACACAGAGTGAGAGAGAGAGAGAGAGAGAGAGAGAGAGTGTGTGAGAGAGAGAGAGAGCAGTGAGAGAAATATGAATATTTGTGCTAACACTAATTCCAATCAGATTTTAAAAGGTAGACATTATCGAAGGCAAAAATACATTGCTATGTCTGCATAACGGAAACCCCAAAAAGATAAAAGAAATCTCTTATCAATGCAATGATTAGATATTTCTTCAATATAAATTATCTCTATATATAAAAGGCAGGATATGTGTGTGTGTGTGTGTGTGTGTGTGTGTAACGAATGCACGGCCGCAATTTTCGACGGATTTACACCAAAGATTTACATGCACATGTTCCAAGTTAGCGTGAAGGCCAAGACCGACTTTGCATTGCCCAACTTCCATCGATAGGGGAAATAATCGATTTTTTTCATGCTTCTACGGCAGTTTTCATGTAGTTTTCGGCCATTTTGTACTGGTCAGAGTGAGAGCCTATCGCTGGCTGCCACGAATAGGCAGGAAGATTCTATTGGCCAGCGTGAGAGCCAACAGCTCACTGACACGAATGTTAACTAGCATTCTAGGATGCAAAATTCGATAGCTGCATTCGTCAAAAGTGGGAAAAATTTAAATCTGCATGGCCCTTTACTCCAATTGGCTCAACGTTGATTCTGATTCCGCAGAACTGGGTTGGGTGTGAAAAAAGTATTTGTTGTTAACATTCTTTTTTCATTCGGTTTTTCCAGTTACGAGTCCTTTTTTAAAGCTGATCGTTTTGTGTTCATTTTGTTTAGTTCTTTTTTCGTAACAGATTTAATGTTTACTATAGAGCTTAGAAAAAATTCGCAGTGTGAGATAGACAAGAAGTAAGGCATGTAGCAACATCAGCACGGAAAATGGTACTCCTTTAAAGGCAAGGAAGGGCAAAAATATTTTAAGTCAAGTGATAGCGATTACTGTGTGAGTCGTACGATTTTTGAATCAAGCACGGGCAACGCCGGGCCATGCTGCTAGTTGTGGACTACAATAACTTATACTGACGCAAAAAAAAAAAAAATAAAATAAAATAAACACGAAAAGCAGCAGTATCCATTCAGTTAAAGGATATGAAATTTTAAATAAATTAAGGAATGCCGCAAAATGCCTGAAAAGGAATATTAAAAAAAAAAAAATAGCCCGTAAGATCAGGACAAGTGATGCATTGGTTTAATATACAGTTATAAGTTATTAGTTAATATTATTGTTCACCCAATACAGGGTCCATGAGGTACTCATAGTAGAGTGTTGCTAAATGAAATTGGTGTAATGGAGTATATAGAAAGAACTAGGAAGCGCATAGTATGAGGATTTGTAGGATAGATAACTGTTGACCTTCACCATGATGAGGTTAAGATCGTCGGGGAAGCATCCTCTTGGGAGTTTGCTCTCCAAACTAACAATTATGAACACAACTCAGAAGCCGTCTTAGAAAATGAAATGTGTACATAAAGGAGTATAAAAAAGAGTTATTACGTAATCTAGACCGGTTGCACATTTGAACAAGAAAACCAAAAGTCTTTTTTGTAGAAACAAGAATATATATATATATATATATATATATATATATATATATATATATATATATATATATATATATTGCATTAGAAGTAATATAAGATCACAATACTTACTGTGATATTTCATTCGTCAGGACTCGGATAAGAATGGTTGTATTTAATTACAGCACATCTATTCTATTATTCTATAAGCTCTTATACATTTCTTATATAACAATTTAAAAAATGCTCAATTATATATATATATACGTATGTGTGTGCATTTTTAAATCGTCTCCATTTGGCCTACATATTTTTTCCTCTGTAATTGATTCAAGTTAATGAAGGTTTTATACACACGCACAAAGACACAGACACTCTGATATATATGTATATAATTTTGTAGATTTTTTTTGATTCAAGTTTTTCCACACACGCGCACACACACACGCACACACATATGTTCAATTTTATATATATATATATATATATGTTCGTGTGTTGATTCAATATTTTACGACTAGTCAGTTTCGCATGTGTAAATTATTCACACACAATAAAATATCTTTAATCACACACACACGCGTGCTTAAACAACAATGGGACAATTTTGTTGTTATATATATATATTCAAATAAAAGATTTTTTGCACATATATATATATATATATAAATGGACAAGGTCCGACAATTTATTTGTGTTTTTTTATATTTAACGTTGTTATTTCATAGATACAAGTATTTGACTTTATGCTCTGTTTATGATCATATAATATAGTCATTTATTTTAAATCGGTTTTTCGATAGAAAATTTTCGTTCTTCGACAAGATTCGAATCTGCATCCTATACGGAAATTATACTGACGAATTCCAGTAAAGGAATATCTTAATCATTTTTTAAATACACGTTACCAGTGCTTAAACTAACAATGGGACAATTTTGCTGTTAGACTCGGTATATATATATTCAAATGAATGAAGATTTTTGCACATACACCTTGTCACACACACACAAAAGAACCTCACACACACACACACACACACACACACACACACACACACACACACACACACACACACACACATATATATATATATTAACATGACATGTTTTGCATGAATAAAGAGAAAAAGAACTAAAAACTTGACGAAATTTAGGACAGGGTTTTGTGAATAAAGAAATGAATTTTTTCATATCGCAGACGTTTATCTTCTAATGAATCACAGGCTGAATACCAAGAAATATAAAATTATAAACCTGATAAATTTAAAACTGTTTTTTTTTTTTTAAATAAGGACAAGGGATTCTATCCGAGTGTAGACGTTACTGTTCCCACGAAGAAACGTTTTGAACGCCAAGGAATTGGGGCCCCAAAAAGGAATATATAAGAAACTGGATTTTCTCAATAAGGACAAAGAACTTTGACAAGGAATGGACGTTACTATTCCGGCGAAGAAACAGAATAAAAACCAAAGAATGGGAAAGAATTAGTGAAAATAGAAGGAATTGAATTATCTGAATAAAGACAAAGGATCTTGTTAGATAATCGATATTGAAACGAAGGAAAGGAAAAAAAAAATTTAAAAAATACCGTAACGTGATTTTTATGAATAATCGATACCTGAATATGGACAGAAGGTACCTGGACGGAACGTTTTAACTTTAATGTAACGTCAATCGCCATTTTTCGTCATTTATTTACGGTGTTATTCCAACTGTTTTTCCCGTTTTCGATTCTTATAGATATAAGAATCGAAATTTCAGGGAAGCAAGTAAACGGGAAGGAGTACCACTGTCGTGAAAGTGCGAGAAAATAAACTCCTGGAGTAGAGATGGCGGTTACATTTAACTATTTCAACAGTAAAAGGGTGGGACCTACATGCCAATCTAGTAGCACGCTTAAATTCACGTAGTCGGGACACCAGAAAAAAAAAAAAAAAAAAAAAAAAACTCATTAGACCAGTTGCTATGAAAATATTTGTAGAAAAGACAGAGGGAAGCCATATCACGTCTGTGAGAATGTGACTGAAGTTGAATTGCCAAGTGAGGATCGATTGCATTACAGATATTTCAGCATTGATTAAAGCCTCGAATACTTTACCGAAAAGCGGTAGGAGGCTGATTGGGCGATAGGGGTCAGAATATTCTCCAGAATTCTTAGAAACAGAAACTACAGAGGAGGACTTCCAACAAGTTAGGAAGCAGCCAGGCAATAGTTGTAGAGTTTGGAGAGAACTGGAGCCAGCTCGGTAGCAAATTAATTTAGGGCGATGGCTGGGGTCCTGACACCGCTAGCCTTATGTGAGTTTAATTTAGATATGATACTCAAGATCAGTGACGGAGTTATGCGCATGCCACTTAGTAGAGCCTCTGTTCTAGGGGTGAGGGGTAATCAGATGTGGGTACTCCAAATGAGTCAAGTGTTGGAAGAGAATTTCCGAGCAAAGCATTCAACTTATTCTGCTGTAGATGTCAGGGCTACAAATTGATTGAATAGAGGGATTGAGGATTTTCTGTTGTTTAATACACTCTTGCAGAGCCGCCAATAATCTTTAGAGCCGAACTTGTGTTATGCTATACAATGTTTTATTCTATCAGCAAAAAGTAACTTTGCTTCATTGAAGACACGCTTGTACTCGTTACGAGCAGAGACAAAGAGACGTCTGTTGAAATCAGACGTGTCGCTTTGGCACAGCCGGAAGAAATGATTCCTGTGGGCTATAGCAGCCGGGAATGCAGGTGAGAACAAAGCAGATGAACGCGGTTTAACTTTGGTATTTCCTTGCTGGAATGAAATCAGCGATGTTGTCTTTCACTCAGGAGGAGACCACAGATGCTTATTTTTGAAGAGGATGATTAAAAAATTCATTCCAAGGGACGTTACGAAGGAAATCACGAAACGAGTCCCGATCTGCTCTTCGATAACAGAAAGATATTTTGTTGGTAGGAGTTTCTTGGCTGGTGGGGGAGTGGAAGGAAATATTTACAGATACGACATGATCAGAGTTGCCAAGAGGGCAAAGCTGCGTAGTACGAGTCAGGGATAGAGGTAAAAAAGAGACTGTGAAGTGAGGCGTGTTCGTCAGGGTTACTGGGGAAACGCGTGGGGAAGTCAACCACTTGCGTGAGAGAATGACTTTTGCTAATTTTACCCTCCATGGTTTTAGCAATTCGCAGTATGCATTTCTTACACATGGATGACAGAGCTTGATAAGTATAGCGATGCTGACAAAAGATCATGCAAAATTTTTGGTTGGTTGATTTTGTTGAGCGGCATATCAACACCTCTATGGGTTATTTAATACCAAAATCTAAATATCCCACACTCAATTTTATGCTTCCAACTACGGCTACCTTCTACATAATTGTATAGTCTCAGGGTTAAGGTATGTTTTTTAGATATATAATTTGTAGGTTAAAAAATGTATTGTTGGTAATTTTAGTATACAAATGTATTTTTATTTTTTTAGTGTTGCATTGATTGTCATTTTGCTAAAATGTATTGGTCATTTTATTAAAAAATGTACTGTTGAGTTTTGCTTGGGGGTTAAGATCAGAAGCCATACTCGGTGTAGCATCAGGTCATTTATTATTATTATAATTATTACTACTACTACTACTACTACTACTACTACTACTAAAGTTTTATGTATGTAACATTTTATTCCATTGAAATATAATTTGCAAAGTAGTAGATAGTGCCAACTGCGGATAGGTGAAACCGTTGCTTTCGATTCCGCGGATGGTTGTATCCAAAGCTAATTAAGAGGTTGTTCCACGCTTCTCAAAACCTCCAACCACCCGATCAGAGGCCTCGCTTCTGGATGTAGTTTATCGTCATACCCAGGACGCTCTTTTTTTTTTTAAATGAAACTTTTGTTTGTAAAAAGCGATTTTTATTCTCACAGAAAGTAGAGGACGTCAAAGTAATTCCTACTTAGAAATTTGCATATTATCATGACTTTATCATTGTTCGTTGGCCCAATAATCTTACTTGGTCTTTCTTTTTTCAGTTTCAATTTGCTTAAAGCAGTGTATCTTCTATTAAGTTTTTCAGTCAGTTATGTGCCATGCGTGATACACGCTTAGGCGATAATGTATCTTTCGATACATGACTAACGAGGCAGATTTTTTCGCTCAATAAGTTGTCATTTTTTTCTGCGGTAGACCAGTTGTCATCCAAGGCTATAGAACCCGGTCTGTATCTTTCGATACATGACTGACGAAGCAGATTTTTCCCGCAGTAGGTTACCATTTCTTTCTGCGGTAGACCAGTTGTCATCCAAGGTTATAGAACCCGGTCTCTCCTGCTATTTACCCATAGGTGAGGAGGGGGAGAAGAAGAGGATTCATACATTTCCCAAGGTTATTAGCACGTAAGTGAATTTAATGGATTTGACTGAAATTCGAACTCGGCTCTCTGATTTCTCAATCTGATCCGCTATCATATTTACAAATCCTTAATGTTCACAGACACTACCGAACAAACCATCTTGTTCAGCAATCTTTACTTCTTCATAGAATAAATGGTATATATTCGTTTTATGGAGTTTGCTCAAACTTTTTGCGTGACAGTAAATAATTTTTTTCACTTTATTTGTTCATTTTATATATTTTGGTTCATTTTGAAGAAAGACAAAACAATCGCGCTAAAATTTTCGTACATCGTACAATACAGCCTAGTGGGATTTTAAAAATTTTCAATTTATGAGATTTTATATATGATCGTAAATCCGGGGTTTTGTTAAAAACGTACGTCGTTAAGTGAGGAACAGTCGAATTTCATAAACTCAAGGAACGTATTTTTTTTTTGTGCTAACCATACCAAATATCAAAGCAGACGATAAAAATAAAGACGGCACGAGGCAAAGGATGTAGAAGAGAGAAAATGTGAGAGAAATAGTGAAAGAGAATAAGACAGAAGATAAGGGAGAAAGTATGAGAGAAAAGGCAAGAAAGAAAAAGCAAGCGGGAAGGTAAAGGAGCGAAACGTAGGAGAGAGCAAGAAAGTGAGAGCGAGTGAGAGAGCGAACGTAAGAGAGAGCAAGAGAGTGAAAGCGAGACTGATTGAAAGAGAGAGAGAGAGAGAGAAAGAGAGAGAGAGAGAGATGAGGGAGCGTGAATGCAAAAGAATAGACTAATGAATAATGTATAGAGATCGTATATTTTTTATTTTCGTTTAAAATGTACGGAAGCCCCTTTTAGGCACAATGTTAATAACTAAACGTCTACAAAATATAAACAATGATAGAAATATTACACTGCTGTGAGGCTGTCAGAAATGTTGAAAAGTTTTTTTTCTTCTAACAAGAGATAGAGCACTGTAAACACACTGCACTGATTTAAAAAAAAGATTGGGTGCATTGTTTTAAGGATTTGAATTTCAGACCACCTACTCAGACCGTCGCTGTTTTAAGACAATAGATTAGACTGTCAGTTAAGAGGAAGTAAAAAAAAGAAAAAAGAAATTAACATGGCCTATGTGCGTGCGAGAGTGCAGATAAAATGGACTGATATATAAAATAAGGGATCCGACACACTGAAGGTAGAGGGACACACAGAAGAGAGACAAACGTACAGAGTGAGGGATAAAGAAACAAAAGAAAAGACAAGAAGAAGACATAGGTGGGGGTCGCAATATGAGGTGAAAGAGAAGAACCGGACACACCGAACAGCGACAGAAACAAGGTAGAATTACAGAAGAAAGAAAGACACACAAATTGAACCAGACACGTAGGAGAGAAATAAAAAGAACGTAGGTTCACACAAGAGACGCAGGCGCACAAAAAAACAGCCAGGTTCATTAAAGAGCGAGAAAGAAGATAAGCTCACAGAAAAGAGCCAGACACACACAAGAGTGTTTTTGTGTGAGAGAGTGAGAGGGTGAGCGAGAGAAAGAAAGAAAGAAAGAAAGAAAGAAAGAAAGAAAGCTAGAGTGGAGAGATAGAGAGAAAACGTAGACTCATAAAAGGGAGAAAAACTCACAAAAATGAACGCGAGAGGAATAATGGATAGCGGTTTGGATTGAGGAATCGGAGAGCCGAGTTCGAATTCCAGTCGAATCCATTACATTCCCTTACGTGCTGATCCGCTATCATATTTACAAATCCTTAATGTTAATGCTATCTATCTATCTATCTATCTATCTATCTATCTATCTATCTATCTATCTATGTGCGTGTACCTGTGTTTCTATCTATCTATCTATCTTGGGAAAGGTATGAATCCTCTTCTTCTTCCCGCTCCCCAGCTATGGGTAAATAGCAGGACAGATCGTGTTTTATAGCCTTGGATGGCAACAGGTCTACCGTAGAAAGAAATGGTAACCTACCTCGGGGGAAAAAAAATCTGCCTCGTCAGTGATGTATCGAAAGATATATGATCGCTTAAGCATGGCACATAACTGACTGACTGATATGTAAGTGATTCGAACATACAAAAAAGTGCCAGGTCCCTTGATGAGGAACATAAAATAGTAGAGAAAAAAAAGCCATTCACATTAAACGAAGGCAGAAAGAAAGTAGACAGAAGTGAGACTAATACTGAGAAAGGAGACAGAAAGGTAGACACACAAAAGAGACAGGAACACAAAGACATCTTAAACGTGCAGCAGAAAGAAGTTAAATTCACAGAAGAGAGACAGACACGCAACAAGTTACAGAGAAGAGAGACAAAAAAGAAAGGCCGAGTCTGAGGTAATAATACATTTACAACGTAATAGTCTTCTTTCAATGCATTAAACACATACTTGGAACGTTTCAGAACAAAATTCAGCTAATATCTATCTGTGCGTAAATAAAACCTGATTGACTCCCATATAAGCAGAGAAGAAACGGCCCTTTATTTGCCATACACTTCAAGACGGAGGTGATCATGGCTCTCCATAACTTCTTGTCTTTTGTTGCTATCAGCATCTATCTATCTATCTATCTATCTATCTATCTATCTATCTATCTATCTATCTATGTGAGTGTGTCTGTGTTCCTATCAGTATCTATCTATCTATCTATCTATCTATCTATCTATCTATCTATCTATCTATCTACGTGAGTGTGCCTGTGTTCGTATCAGTATCTATCTATCTATCTATCTATCTATCTATCTATCTATCTATGTGAAGGTCTGTGTTCTATCTATCTATCTATCTATCTCTGCATCTATCTACGTCTATCTATCTATCTCTATCTACGTCCATGTTCGTATCAGCATCTATCTATCTATCTATCTATCTATCTATCTATCTATCTATCTATCTATGTGAGTGTGTCTGTGTTCCTATCTATCTATCTATCTATCTATCTATCTATCTATCTATCTATCTATCTATCTATCTATCGTTTATCGTAGTGTGCCTGTGTTCGTATCAGCATCTATCTATCTATCTATCTATCTATCTATCTATCTATCTGGCTGTCTGATACAATTTCTATCTATCTATCTATCCTCCTATCTATCTATCTCTGGCTCTCCATCTCGATTCCTGGTTGGTGTGTGGCACACATCTGCCCTACTCATATGAAACATATTTGACGCGTGTTCTCTGAATTTCCCGTTTCAATGAAACGAACTTGAAGAAATCCCAAACATGTGTTGTTGGTCATGTGATCCTTAGGTGTATGTGGGTGTAACCAGACGTCTTCGTGATGGCACCCCATCCACACAAGCGTGAAGGGCGCATGCCATAGAGTGATCGTTACCAAGTCAATTTCGTAATACATAATGGGTTCGATATTAATTAATAATTTTAACTATTTTTTCTTTCATATTTATTGCATTTTTTTTTAATCACAACACTTCAGACTTTACATTCATTTTTTTCTTTCTCTTCTATATGCTGTGTCCCGTGGACGACCACGTCTCTCCACAACTTCTTGTCTTTTCTAGCCCTTAGTAAAGTGTGTCTTTTTGCTATATCCCCTGATCCTTGTTCTGCCATTCATTTACAGAAGCTTGTTAGGTAGGTTATGCGTTGCTTTCCTCAGTCCCTCTTGACTTCTGCATGTCATGTCAGTGTCAAATTTTCCTAGCCTGCTTTCCTCACTATGTGTGTTATAAATTTCAGCTGAATTTTTTCTGATTCTGAGTGTAAGTGTCCTTTTCGTTTCTATTTCCCTTAAAAGTTCACCGTTCCTTACATGGCTCGTCCATGGTATTTTCAGCATCCTTCTGTAGAACCACATCTGTTGCTTCAAGTCTCCTCTTCATCTGTAAAGAAATTGTCCAGTATTCACTGCCAGGGCGGAGGACTGATATTACATAACAATCCAGTATTTTCTTTTGTTTCTAATGAAAGTTTTTTCTGTCTCTTAATACTTTGCTTAGTTTTTGTAAGGCATCATTCGCTATCCCAATACACCTTCGGATTTCAGTGTCGTTAAAACATTCGGATTTCTGTGTCGCAAAAACTCTCGGATTTCTGTGTCGCAAAAACTCTCGGATTTCTGTGACGCAAAAACACTCGAATTTCAGTGTCGTTAAAACACTCGGATTTCTGTGTAGCAGAAACACTCGGATTTCAGTGTAGCAGAAACACTCGGATCTCAGTGTCGTTAAAATACTCGGATTTCTGTGTCGTTAAAACACTCGGATTTCAGTGTCGTTAAAACACTCGGATTTCAGTGTCGTTAAAAAACTCCTCAGATATTTGAATTGTTGTACTTTGATTTTGATTGGTTCGTACTATATTTTAAATCTTCAAAATACTGCCGGTTCGTTTAATATTCAAAAATAATTCTGTGTGCTTGAGGTAAATGTTGACCAAGCCGATAGAATATTTGAACTGGACAGTTGCCGGTGATTCAAGATCAGTTAATGTTTGTTGTTCTACGCGGATTTTGAGATATTGATATATTCCCTGTGTAAGTGTTCATCCTTAAAATTGTAAAAAAAAAAAAAAAAAAAAAGGAAATGAAAGTTGAATGCGAATACCACTAAACAGGGAGACTCTGTGTTTTGGAGATTTTTCAGTTTCTTAACGCTTTGTTTAGCGTTTGGGAGTCAACTTCGGATTTCAGTGCCATCTGTTAAAACACATCCCATGTATCTAAACTTCTGTACTTGCTTGAATTTATTACATTTTATAATTTGATATTAAAGGATTTGAGTACTGTATATATTCGCGTATCATGCGACCTTTGAAGACCGAATTTTAAAGCTATTTGACTTCAGTAAATCTATATATATAGTTTGGTCAACGGCATAGCCAGTTGAACATACGCTAATTTTATATCTCGTGTATGATGAAAGAGAGGGGGAGAGAAGGAGGGAGGAGAGAGAGAGAGAAGGAGAGAGAGAAACAAGAAGAGAAAGACAGAGAGAGAGAGAGAGGAGTAATTATCGTGCCAGTCATGGAAGAATATTTTTTGAACATATTGAGTAGCATGGATATTATGCTGGCAGGCATTATTCTGCTGGAATAAAAACTCCGCTTTCTTCTTCTCTCTTCTCGGCAATCGAACCGCGATCAAAGTGAAGTATCTGTTTTCCTGATTTTAGTTAGTAGAAGGCGCCTGGTCACGGGGATACCAAACCTGCGGCAGCAACTTCGTCATTGCACCAAGAGAGGTGTGGCCGTTGTAGTATCGATGCTAGCGTGACAGTGGTCGCGGAGAGCGGACAAATTTTGTTCTTGGCCTATATGTACGTGTATGTTCTTCCCACCTAAAAAAGGGACATTGTGTCACATCCTCTCTTTGTGGGGGAGGTCAGTAAAATACAATCCCATTTTTCAGAGCGGCTTGAACAATATTTTGGACTTACATACTGCTATTAAACCTCTCACAGAAATTAAAGGTGAGTGGGCGGTGTAATTTATAGCACCCGACATCAGGATGCTGTATGTCGAGGGTGAATACCCTTTGGTACCTGCAGCTCCCCAGGCCTATGTCGTACAAGCGGTTATCATGCATGACAGCAGCTCTTAATCTCGTTAATAAATATTGTATAGCGCAGTTCAGTTCCTCAGGTGACACTCTCACGATACCATTAGAAATGTGCACAACCTTATTGTGGTCTAAATAGAACTCTGACTAGGAGGTACCAGCATCTATAGTCCTGTTGCAAGTAAATGATTTTCAACAGCTTGTTGATATACTTCGGACGACATTTGCGCTGATTAAAATAGAAGATTAAAGATTTAATAATAGATACATATAAGGTAGATTTAAAAAAAAATGTAAAAATATGTGCAAAATATTAACAGCATATGCAGACGTTGAATAGACGATGCAAATGTAGATGTAATAGCAGATTTAATGATAGATGTTAAGGTAAATATAAAATGTAATATTAGACGTGAAAATTTAATAGCATATGTAGAGATTTAATTGCAGATGTAATTACAGATGTAAAGGTGGGTGTAAAGTTGTAATACGCGTAAAAAGTTAATAGAAGATGTGGAGCTTTAATAGCTGAAGTCATGGTAGATATAATGATTTAACAGAAGATTTAATAGCAGACGTAAAGTTAGCTGGAAAGTAGTGATAGTAGATGTAAAGAGTAAAGATTTAATAGCAGATGTAAAAGTAGTTGGCAAGTTGTACTAGTAGATTAAACAATTTAATCGCAGATGTAGTGATTTAATAGTATATGTAAAGGTAGATTTAAAGACGTAATGGCAGATGTAAATATTAAATAACAGACGTAACGGTAGACGCGAAGATGTAACAGTAGAAAGATATCGAAAATATTTACTGTATAAAAATGTTAGTGAGAATGATGTTCCCTGAAGTGTAGGTATATTTCTTTGTATTGTTGACTTTTTATGGGGGGAGAGGAGAGTGTATTGGGTTAATCTTCCAAGGGGAGAGTTCACGTCCGACTTGAAATACAGAATTCGATATTGAGTTCGCCCGATATTGAGTTCAACATTAAGGTCTCAACATTTCATATCTCAAAACTAATTCATTTTGTTTGTTTGTTTGTTTGTTTGTTTGTTTGTTTGTTTGTTTCTTTCTTTTTGTTTCTTTGTTTCTTTCTTTCGCTGTTTGTGATCGAAACGTGTCACAATAACAGGTTTCCTTCTCTCTCACTGACTCTCTCTTTCTCTCTCTCTCTCTCTTTCTCTCTCTCTCTTTCTCTCTCTCTCTCTCTATCTATATATGCACATATATATATCATGTTGAGCAAAATGTTTCTTCGGTTTGTTTATAAGCAGTAAGTTTCTTGCGAACGAACATTTTTAATGACCAAAAACGTATGCACACAGACACACACATATATATATATATATACACACACACACAGAAATATATATATATATATATATATATATATATATATATATATATATATATATATATATATATATATATATATATATATATATATATAAGTGCGCAATGCAGAAAATGAAAAAGAACACGTTGGGTTGCATAATCCGGAGTTCATTAGTATTTTTTATTTTTTAGAAGACAGTGCTCCATACAGAAGTAGAAGGAATCGTATTTTTAAACAAAAAAATATTATATATATATATATATATATATATATATATATATATTACTTAGAAGTATATATGAAACATATATATATATATATATATATATATATATATTATAATATTTTTATTATAATATTTTACATCGTTACACAAAAACTTTGATGTTTCGGAACATTAAAATTGTCCCTCATCGGGCGATGGTAGATTGGGTCTACCTGTAAAACAAACGACATGGAAATAAAATTATACGAACTTTCACTTCCATAGTTTAATTGTAAAAAAATGACGCTTAAATAAAAGCGGAACGCGTTATATTTATAAACGGTTCCTTATTTGTCCCCTATTCTATCTATTCTATTCTGTCGCACGTACGTACAGATGCACACTCACACATGTAGTTAACCGTGTAAATATACTGTTTCAAATTATGCATATTTAGGGAAGTGTTAACTTAGTATTGGAGAGAGGGAATTTATACATATAGACACGGATGTGGATACAGGTATCAACACTTCCTGTTGGATTGTCAGTTTGACAATTTGATGGGGTGTTCTGACAAAGACTAATTAAAACTTACCATATATATATATATATATATATATATATATATATATATATATATATGTATGTATGTTAAAACGCTCCAGTGTCACACGAGCAAGCTAAACAGAATTTTACAAAAATGACCTTGCACAGGAAAACTTAACTTAGTTTACCACGCCTGCAATAAACATTTGATGTTACTCACTGTCGTTCTAGATGAGTTATGTAATAGTAAGAATCAGGTTAAACAATAAAATGTGATTGTGGGGTTGAGTTTAAGTTTCCCCCCTAAAAAAAAAAAAGCACAAATAAAATAAAAACGGCAAATATTTAAACTATACAATACTTAAGGAAAAGAATTAAACTTAGGAACATTAAGATTACCTCCTCGGTTATCCATTGAAATTGCTATCCACCGAAAAAAAAAGAAGCCAGTCCTCACCGCGGGCAATTTAAAAGATAGTTCGCGCAGCGGATTGGTTGTTACACACATCCAATCGGATGTGCGGAATACGTGGTCTTTCTTCGTCTAATTCTTTAAAAAGGCCAGAGTAGCTGTTTATGTTTGATAGTGAGTGGGAATATGATGTTGAAAGACCCGAAAGTCCCTGATGAACTAAGTCAAAACATCACTGACGACCCCCTCGGGCACCTACTTAAAAGCGTATTTTTGAATTAGTTAAAAACATAGATTATACTTGTCAGTGATGGGAATACTCGTTTACCTATATATATATATATATATATATATATATATATATATATATATATATATATATATATATATATATGCACAACAGACATCTAGCCACACTAATGAGCTGTTATACAGAAAAACAGTCTGTGGATGACAATATATATATGCTCCTGAAAAATTTATTTCGGTTGAGATCTCTGGGGAGGAAGTGTGGGTTTGTAAATAGTGATTATTACGGCTAATAATGCAAGACTCTTCGGTAAATCAAATCGAGTTCGCTCAGTCACTGTGTGTTTATCTAAAAATAAATACGCTTAAATTCACTTTCGTCCCTGCCGCGCACCCACGGCTTAGCGGTAGAATCCCCCCCGACTCACGCCAATTCAGTCGGGTTTCGATCCTAGCTCGAATCAACCGGACGTCTAGCCACACTGATGAGCTGTGATACAGCGAAACAGTCTGTCTGTAGATGGCTATATGTATAATATTTTTGATTAAATTCCTATAGCGAATCAAAATATATTTTTATTTGTATTAAAAAACTATGTACATAAAAATATACAAACCGTATATACAGGGTGTACTTCGCAAAAACGGATATTATTTAAAATGTCCCAGGCGAACGAAATTAAATAGATTAAAATTACAAAATTGCATTTTAAATGTAAAACAATTAAAAATTTATTTATCAAAATTCCAACAAGATATTCAAAGTGTTGTGTTAAATGGTTAAATAATAATAACAAAAACCAGGTTTGCAAATATATCGTATATTAAACGGTAAGTACACGAGAAGAGTATTACATGACTAGCGAGTGTGTATCGTATGAACCAGCGCTCAATCCATTCACCGTTCACTGTTCCCGAAGCCTTCTCTTCAACTAATCTTATTGTAGGCGGAAGAGTCTAACATAGATTCTTAGAGGGAGGACACCACAACATAAAGGTATGTAGATTTTATAACCGATTTC